ATGTACAATGCAGCTTGCAAAGAAGCGGTCGTGGCCAACCAAGCGGTAATAGCCCATTTTCTAACTGCCTAGAACCATAAAGATGAACACCATCTAAAACAGCAAAAAAGAGAGAAATTTATGGGCCCAACTATCTGAAATGTATTAAGCAAATCATAATTTCAAGAAACCTTGTTTTATAGTTCAATGATTTAAAAGATATTATAAGGGAACTCATGTGTCTACAAATTTTATCCATGCGTAGAACGAAGCGGCTCCCAACTCCCAAAACTACATGAATGCATTCTGCATTTTTATGGGAAGTTATTCCTCCAAGGAATATATAAGGTCTGAAATAATTGTTATTAGTTAGTACAATTCTCATCTATATGTGAGTAAGAAATAGCATTGCATCAGTTGTTTACGTTTCTGAAAAACAAGTTACAAATTTATGACATCAAGCTTAAGGACCAAGGCTTTCTCCCTCTTCTTATCCAGGAGTAAGTTTTTCATGTGTCATATTTCTACTGAGTTTCAGGCTGATGAGCTTAATAAATGGAAAATTGAAGAAGCTCGCAAGTTCGAACAAGCGCGTTTTGCTGAAGAGGCGGCTCTTGCAATTGCTGAGACCGAAAAGGCGAAATGCAGAGCTGCTATCGAAGCTGCTAAGAAAGCACAAAAGATGGCTGAAATAGAAGCGCAAAGAAGGAAGTATGCAGAGTTGAAAGCTAAGCGAGAGGCAGAAAAAAAGAAACAAGCAATTAATGTTCGATCTCAGAATGATATACGTTATAGGAAGTATACAATAGAAGAGATTGAGGCAGCCACCAAAAAGTTCTCAAATGCACAAAAAATTGGAGAAGGTGGATATGGACCTGTTTTTAAGGGTAAACTAGATCACACACCTGTTGCCATTAAAGTTCTGAGTCCTGATGCTGCACAAGGGAAGAAACAGTTCCAACAAGAGGTAACCGTTTTTATTACTAATTCAATGATAGCCTCTCTTTTACAATATGTATTTAAGATATGAAACATTCTGCATTATGAGGGCTGAACAACTTCATTTTCCGTAGAATTTGTGCATTCATTGAGTCACTTCTGGAGTTAATTACACGCTATGCAATTGAGGGAATTTATGATAAATTGTAGAAAGTGGAAAATGCATTTATACTGATGATTTATTAATGTAAATGGGACATATTTTAACTTGCTATAACTAGAATGTCTAAAAGATGTTGTAGCTTGTACTCTCTCATCTATGCTACACTATTATTAGAATCCCTCTCTCTTAGTTAAATTGTTGATTGGTGTTAGTATGAGTATTTGACAAGCCGCTTACTGATGCACATGAAAAATGTTTTTTTCATTTACAGGTTGAGGTCCTCAGTCTCATTAGGCATCCAAATCTGGTGCTACTATTAGGTGCGTGTCCTGAGTATGGGTGCTTAGTTTATGAGCTTATGAATAATGGCAGCTTGGAAGATCGTCTTTTTCGGAAAGGTAATACCCCTTCAATTCCATGGGAAATTCGCTTCAAAATTGCTGCTGAGATTGCAACCGGGCTTCTATTTCTTCATCAATCGAAACCAGAACCTCTTGTTCACCGGGATCTAAAGCCAGGAAATATTCTGTTGGACAAAAATTATGTCTGCAAAATCAGTGATGTTGGTTTGGCAAGGTTAGTGCCGTCATCTGTAGCTGATTGTGTGACACAATATCACATGACTTCAGCTGCTGGTACTTTTTGTTATATTGATCCTGAATATCAACAAACGGGAAGGTTAGAGACTAAATCAGATATATATTCTCTTGGTGTGATGTTGCTCCAAATTATTACTGCGAGGCCCCCAATGGGTTTAACCCATCATGTTGAAAGAGCCATCGAGAAAGGTAAATTTGCAGATTTTTTAGATCCAACAGTGCCAAATTGGCCGGTGGAAGAGGCTCTTAAGTTTGCCAAATTGTCACTCAAGTGTGCTGAGCTGAGGAAGAAAGACCGACCAGATCTTGGTTCAGTAGTAGTTCCTGAGCTTACCAGGCTTTGTGAATTCGGAATGAGCAGCATGCCAGGTACCGGTTAGATAAAGTTTTTCCCCGTGCATACTCAAAGATTGCTCCCACACCCGATGGATAAACTACTGTCAACTCAGGTCCGTGGCTTCTTCCCATTACCAACATTTAATCGAGTGCAGTAAACATCAGCTGTATCGTTCATTTTCCCTTTTTACGAGTTAATCTTACTGAAGTTGAAGGAGAAAATGATCACTTGAAGAGTATTCCCTTGTTGAAACATTTCGATAAACAGCAACGTGAGTGATGATATGATAAACATATCGACATTTTTACCTGTTCTTGGACGTCTTCTGATATATAAAATATTGTTCCAATCTTTTGAAATGCTGCCTCTGTTCCAATTTAAATTCTTATGCTATGTTATATCGTCTTATATTACACATCACCACGAAAAGGTTGTGATGAAGTGGTAACCAGAGGTTTCGAGTTTGAGTCCTAGATATGAAGTCATACAGAGTACTTTACCCGAAAACTTAGACTTTTCAGCATGAACCTGAAGTAGTCAGGCCCCAAAGCTAGTACCGGATACAGAGCGAGTGAATAGTACAACATATAGCTTTAAGGCTACCTACATTTACTCGGGGGTAAAAACTTATGCACCTAGTGTTTACATCAAGTCAACAAGGGGTTGTTTGGTAGGAACACTTTGAATCAAAGACGACTTCATATTCAGGGCTTAAATTCGAGACCTCTTGAATGAGAGTTTTATTGAATATTATCCGAACATATAAATATAAACTTAAAATTAGTTAATGTAATGTGGGATCCAATCCAAATGTGGATGATTTCATCAATATTCAACTATATTAGATTAATTAATTAAGAGCTTAATGATTAGATTAAATATTCAACTTGAATACACGATTAGTGTATTGATATGACAGTGACAATCATCACAAAGGATAATTATAATCTTTCTTTGTGTTTTTTTAATTAATCATGATATTTAAGTCAACTTTTTCTTCGATTAATTTCATGAGGTATTTGTCACTTACTGTTGACAATAAATATTAGATAATTCTGTCCACTGAGATTAGGACAGATGAAAAAAATCACTTAATATTTTTCTTGAAAGTAATTATTTGATTATTGCAAGTAGTTTACACTAATTAAGCATCAAATCTAAGCACCCTCAAAGTGGAATTAAAATTATATTTCATTTACACGTCACTTTTTCAACATTTTGTCAAAGGTTCCTTTTTCCTTTTTTTTCCCAGCATTATTGGTATTAAATTTATTAATTAATAAAAAGCATATATATTTTATGTTGCTTTTGCACCATAAAAGATATTTATCGTGGCTTCAAGAATATAAAAAAATCAAATAATAGTTCTCGATCTGAATTTAAAGTTGAATGTTGAACAAAAAAAAAATAATGAATAAATAATTGTTACATGTCAAAGACTCGATAGTAGTTTATTTTCCTGAGGGAGATATTAAAATAAATGTATTTTATAAGTTAAAAATATTATGTCACTCGATGAACTAGTTTTTAGGTTAATTTTCTTTAGACCTAATTAGATATTACAAAGTTTTTAAAAGGTTATGTTATTTTGCCCTATTCGAAAATAGAAAATTGTCTAGACGAATGTCTATCCAGAATTAGTCTCAATGATTTTTTTATTTAATGACAATGGAAATCCGCAGCCGCTATTCTTTGGGTACCACATATGGTAAAATTCCGCTCCTAGCAATAGCTCGCAAACCACATAGCAAATATAATCCGCATTGGACAAGCCCGGTGCAACGTGCTCGACCCAAAAGTCAAATCAATGGGAAATCTATCCGTAATGAATTGTTCATTGATACAAATATTACTATTTCGGGATGATTTTTAATAGCTATCAAAAATTTGAATTTCTAATTTTTATTCTTTTGAATTTTAGATTTAAATAACAATTCGAAAATCTTTTGACAGTGAAATAACGACTCCTGATAATTAATAACAAAAGTTCTCTAAAAAGGTTTTGTCATGAAAAATTAGGTCATAAGTGAAGGTATTTTATCCTACAAATTTTTATTATATGATAATAAGAACAAAAAAATTCATATAATAAAAATGAAGACCACCACAAAATGAGAATAATACATGAAAAAAAAGATCTAAAGAACTTTGAAATTTGAATAAAAGGTAGAAATCGCACGATCCTTCTTTATATTTTTGGCTCTTAAAATTAAAACTATCAAAATTAAAAATGAAAATCTAAAATTTTATCAAACTTTAAACCATTGAATCTTAATTTAATTTTGATTATGGAACTAATAATTTTTGTAAACTTCGATTATTCTTTAAATAATAACCTTAAAAGTTAATTTTTTTTACTTTTCTTTCTCCTTCTTTTTCAACTCGAAAATATTTTTAATTTAAAGTTTGAACTATTTAAACTAAATCTCCATACAATTTCTTTTTTTATATAATACTTGAGTCAAACTTTAAACACGAGTTAAAAACTTTAAACATAAATTCAGAATTAAATATGTAAAGTTTGAAATTTATTATTATTTTTAAAAAAAATATCATTTTCTTAAGATTGACAATTTGTCCATTTTATGTACTTCTAAAGTCTCATTGTCTATTTTTGTCCAAATTTTTTTCCTACACTACCCTCTCTCATCTTTTCATTTCAAATCTATTTTAAATTATTTTAAAGGGGGAGTCGAATTTTTTTAAAAAAATAAACCTTTTATATCTTTATTTATATTTTACCCAAAAATTTGGCAAAATATATTTTTTTTTTAATTTTTTATTTTAAAATTACACTAAATATATTATTATCGTCATTATCTGTCTCAATATTTCCATAAATCAATTTCAATTTGTGGAATCCACGTTAGTGAATACAATTCTCCTATTGAAGCGTTCCAAAATCTATAAAATACACTTTACACCCCTTAAGTTTTTATAATATCTTTTTGCCCCCTAAAGTTTAAAAAAAGAACAAAAAAAGAAATCCACACTGATAAAACTCATTCTACTTCAGATATTGTGGTTCCTCAACTCCGCGGCGTAGATCCGAGGAGTTTTTGTAAAACTGCAGTCTTTGAAAACCCTAATTCTCAAATCTTTCAGATCTTTCTTTGACAAACTTCAAATCACCATCAAGTAGGTTACTCTTCTTATGCTTGTTTTCTTGTATTTTTTAGATTTTTTTATGTTAAAGTTTTTGTTTGATTGAAAGTTTGTGTTTTTATGATATATTTGTGTTTGAGTAGTGGTTTTGGTGAGTTGGGTGTTGATGGTTTTGCTGTTTTGTAGTGTGGGTTGGTTTTGGTTTTTGTTTTAAATGATTGGGAAAACGAGCGATCTAGTGATTCTTGTTTTATCTTTGTGTATCTAGGATTCATATAGCACCCCTTCCAAGCTGTTGTAGTTGTAGATGAGTGGTGTGTTAAAAGGGGTTAGCTTTGTAAAGATTAGAGGGGGTGGTAAGTTGGGATGCAGAAGAGGAGACTATGATTCCTAGATGTGCTTTGTTTAACTGTGTTGTTGACGTTCTTCTCGTTGTTTTGATGTATATTTGGAGCTCTCTTAGCTCCATGAGTTATGTGTGTCTTAGTGGTGTGCTAAAGGAGTTAGCTTTTTGCAAGGATTGGATGGGGTGGTGAGTTGGGAGGTAGGTAAGATAGGAGACTATAATATCTTGATGTGCCTGTGTTGTTGACATTCTTTTTGTTGTTTGGATGTTTATTTTCAACTCGCTCAGCTCCATGAGTGATGTGTGTCTTAATGGAGAGTTAGCTTTGCAAAGATTAGAGGGGGTGGTGACTTGGGAGTCATGCAGGCACGGAGACTATAATTCCTCGATGTGCCCTGTGTTGTTGACACTCCTCCTGATATTTTTTGACGTATATTTTCCACTATCTCAGCTCCATTAATAATGTGTGTCTAAGTGGTGTGCTAAAGGAGTTAGCTTTGCAAAGATTAGAGGGGGCGATAAGTTGGGAGGCAGGCAAGGAGACTATAATTCCTTGATGTGCCCTGTGTTATTGACATTCTTCCCGTTGTTTTGATTTATATTTTTCACTATCTCAGCTCTACTAGTAATTTGTGTCTGAGTGGCGTGCCAAAGGGGTTAGCTTTCCCAAAGATAATTGGAGTGGGGGGAGGGTGATAGGTTGGGAGGCAGGCGAGGAGATTATAATTACTCAATGTGCCGTGTGCTGTTGACATTCTTACTGTTGTTTTGGGAGAGAGGATGCATCTTGATTCTTGTGTATGACCTCTATAATAATTTGAAGAAAGAATAGATAATTTTTTTTGTACTTAATGAAAAAAAAATTTATATGTGACTTTGTTGAAGTGTTTTGGGTCTTTAACTGACTTACCTATTATTTTTTATGTCATGGAGTTGAGCTTTGACCTTCACTTTTTTATCATCTACAAAATGTTCAATGAATTGCCATATGACTTATAAGATTTATTATTTGTTAATAGAAAATATTAATCCCGAATAAATTAAATTTTTGCTTAGACTAGTATCCCAAAACTATTTTGAGATTGAGGTGCAGTTAATTAATTAAAAATTCCTGCAGTCATGGCAGCAGAAGGTTCTCAGTTTGATGCTCGTCAATTCGATGCAAAAATGACAGAACTGTAAGTTATCTCTTTCCATCATACACGATGTCATGTTAATCTGGCTGGAAAGCATCCTTGATCCCCCCCCCCCCCCTCTTTCCAATTTATTGATTATCACTTTCTGCTGATATTTGGCGTCTGGTTTAGCCATTGATTTGATTGACTTTTGTTGTTATTTGATATGCCAAAAACAGGCTTGGTACTGAACAACAGGAATTCTTCACATCATATGATGAGGTTCACGACAGTTTTGATGCCATGGGTTTGCAAGAAAATCTCCTGAGGGGCATCTATGCCTATGGTAAATTGATATCTCCTCCTAAGTCGGCTTCTTTTCCTCCATTCCCAGATTTTACAGGGCCCTGAACAGTCTTTTGAATTTCTTTAAGGTTTTGAGAAGCCATCTGCTATTCAGCAAAGGGGCATTGTTCCTTTTTGCAAGGGCCTTGATGTCATCCAGCAGGCACAATCTGGTACTGGAAAGACGGCAACTTTCTGCTCTGGAATTCTCCAGCAGCTTGATTACAGTTTAGTTGAGTGTCAGGCTCTGGTTCTTGCACCAACCCGTGAGCTTGCACAACAGATTGAGAAGGTTATGAGAGCACTTGGTGACTACCTGGGTGTGAAGGTTCATGCTTGTGTTGGGGGTACCAGTGTCCGTGAGGATCAGCGCATCCTTCAGAGCGGTGTTCATGTTGTGGTTGGTACTCCAGGCCGTGTCTTTGACATGTTGCGCAGGCAGTCTCTTCGCCCCGACCACATCAAGATGTTTGTTTTGGATGAAGCTGACGAAATGCTCTCTAGAGGTTTCAAGGATCAGGTTGCCCTTTTACTTGAATTTTTGCTGTATTTTTTCTTAGTTCAGAGCAGGATTTGCCCTTATTTTCTGTCACTAAATGATGTTTCTGTGTTTGAAGGTTAACTAACATTTAACAATCTAGAAGTGGAGATTGTTATATCATTTTATCAACAACATATAAGAATTCACCCTTTCTAATTCTGATCAAGTGAAACAGAATTCGATTTTATGTGTGTTTATGTAGTTGATAGTGAACTAATAAAGCTAGGGCTAATTTGTTAGTAATATATTTCTCCCTCAAATTATAAATCAACAATTCCTCAGTCCTAAACTAGAGTTCAGTTCTATGGATTTTCTTTATCTAGCTTGAAATGCAATCCTTTTCAGGCCTAAGCTAAATAATCTGAAATCTAAAACAAGTTAAGAGGTTCTCTAAACTTCAAAGTTCCTTGAGTCTCACAGCTTAGCTCTATCTAGTACAAAGATCTCCTGCACTACTAGATCAAATGCAAGGGCGACAACAATTAAGTGTTGACTCTCAACTAGTTGGTATTGTTATATGGATCAATTACTAAGTACTCTGTGAAATACAAATGTTGCAGTTTCAAAAAAAAAAAGAAGAAACAAAAGAAAAAAAGTTTGCATTTGTTTCTAGAGATCGCAAGTCTTCTCCGATAATTAATCTTCCATGATATTTGAGGTTTACCTTTTTCGTTGATACTATGTTCAATCATCATAGTCCTGTGCCTACGGATCAAGATCATTTGAAAGTCAGATAGGCCCTTTTTTGATGTTATCTTATATGTGTAATATTTATATACTCTCTCGAATGTTATCATGTCGAATCTTGTCAAATCACATATGAGTGCACATCTGTAATCCTTTGCATATACATGACACTTATTTTGTGGACGTTTCACCCTCATGGTCAAGTCCGCATAGATTTCAAGATGTGTAGGTCTCTCTTTCTTTTATAATTTTCAATTTGCTTGACAATATATGCCAGTTATTGATCAGCTTGTTGGCGAGTCCTCCCTCCCCCCAAATTGTAGCTTTGATGTGCTCTAACTAACCTTTGTCAACAATTGCTGCCACATCTTTCTGGTTTATTCCTCCTTTGTTTTGATGATTTAACTTTTCCCATGACACAAATATTATTTTCCAGATTTATGATATATTCCAGCTTTTGCCACCAAAAATCCAAGTGGGTGTTTTCTCTGCGACTATGCCACCAGAGGCTCTTGAGATTACTAGAAAGTTCATGAACAAGCCTGTGAGAATTCTCGTGAAGCGTGATGAGCTCACTCTTGAAGGTATTAAGCAGTTTTATGTCAATGTCGATAAGGAAGAGTGGAAGCTTGAAACACTATGTGATCTTTACGAGACCTTGGCCATCACCCAGAGCGTCATCTTTGTTAACACTAGGCGAAAGGTTGACTGGCTCACTGATAAAATGCGTGGACGTGACCACACAGTATCTGCAACTCATGGAGACATGGATCAGAACACAAGAGATATCATCATGAGGGAGTTCCGATCTGGCTCATCTCGTGTGCTTATCACAACCGATCTCCTTGCTCGTGGTATTGATGTCCAACAAGTCTCCCTTGTTATTAACTATGACCTGCCAACTCAACCAGAAAACTACCTGCATCGTATTGGTCGTAGTGGACGATTTGGAAGGAAGGGTGTTGCTATCAACTTTGTCACCAAGGATGATGAAAGGATGCTTTTTGACATACAGAAGTTTTACAACGTCGTAATTGAGGAGCTCCCAGCCAATGTTGCTGATCTCCTCTAAGGCGATTTTTGGTATATTTATTCTTAGATTTAGTATCAGTTTGTACTAGACTTGGAATTAGGAAATGCTGGTAGCCATGGTTTGCCACAGCACCAGTTCCTTTCCTGATTCAAATGAAACCTTTTTTTTTTTTTTGCAAATTTTGTTTGGTTTGTCATTTTATACCTTTAAAGTATCCAAATAACTTTGTATTTGGTGTTGTTTGAATTGTTTAATTGATCTATTTCCCTATGGAAGGTAAAGCTTTTAGTTGGATTATCTGTTTTTTTCTCATTTTGATGCTATATTTCATATTTGTACTCCAGACTTTGTGGTTATATTCTTTTAAACATAGAAGGTTGTGGTTTATGTGACCTTCGGGTGGCTCAGTTGTTTGAGCTTGAGACTTTCGTGTTGGAGGTCTCAAGTTCGAAACCCCTTTCCAGCTAAAGCAAGGGGTATGTCTTCTGGATCGAGCTTGTCGCATCAAGCTTGCCTAGTGGTTTGCGAATTATTGCATAGGAACGAGAGTTTTATTTTGTGCGCATTTAAAGAATAGTAACTGCGGGTTTTCCTTGTCATCAAAAAGAAAATTGTGGTTTATATGACGGAGTGAGGTATGGACTTTCATGTTGGAGTAATCAAGTTCGAAACCCCTTCCCAGCTAAAGCAAGGGGTTTGTCTTCTGGGTCGAGCTTGTCGCACCAAGCTTGCCTAGTGATTTGCGAGTTATTGCATATGAGAGGAAGTTTTATTCTGTGTGCACTCAAAGGATAGTGACTGCGGGTTTTCTTTGTTATCAGAAAGAAAATTGTGGTTTATATGACGGAGTGAGGTGTGTTACTAAAACTCACAAACTAAAATTGTATAATACTTTTTAAAGGTTCATTTTCTTTAGTAGTTTTGTGTTAAAATAAAATTATATCTTTTTGTTAGAGATTAGAAAACACTTATATAAAGTAAATCTCATATTCAATTAAAAAAATTTATCAGAAAAAGAGAAAATTTCTACTAGAAAATAGTCCCTTGTCTTTAATATTAGTTTCAAAATAGTCCCATATGTACCACTTTTGAGCTGTTTCAGTCCTTTTAAATTGTCAAAAAATGAGTATATTTTTCAAATATTTATCAGAAACCTAGATAAACCTAGTTATTTAATTTAAATATTGAAAAAAAATTATTAACCATAAACATTAAACACCAAAAGTCTCCATTAAAGTCTTTATATATTGCAACATACTAATAAACTACATACTACAAAAAAGTAAAAACATAACAATCATTAATCCTAAAAATTATCCCATAATTTTAAATCGACCAAAAAAAACAAATATAAATTACAATATAATGTGAATTTCTCATGAATATTTTCTACTATTTTAAATTTTAATTTGTTGATTAAAATTTATATTCTACTATTTCAAAATTAAATTGTGAAAAATGACAGAAATCTCGCCTTTAAGTTTTTTTATTACCATTATTCCCTATTAGTTTTACAAATTTTCAAAATCCCTTATTTTTCACGCATCAAATTAATGTATCAGCGCATCAAATTAATGTATCTCGTGTATCAGATTAATGTATTTCCCACATCAGATTTGTGTATCAGGTATAATATGTAATGCATCTTACTTAATGATTAATGTATCTCGCGCATCAGATTAATGTATCAGTTTTTATATTACTGTATCAGTTTGAGGAATTTCTGTAATTATAAACTTATAAGTATGCGATTTAAGTCGTTTGCCCAAATTAATAATTATAATTTAGTAAATATTTTACTAAGACCAAAAAATGCTAATAACTTTTAATAAATTATGAAAATATTTTTTAAAACTTACCACCAAAATATAATAGGTTAGGGAAATTTATTTGAATTTTTTTTCTTTTTTTATTTTCAACTCAAATTTACATAAGGAATTTGGAAACATATAAAGACAAAACATAACATAATTCATAAAACTCTCTTTCACACAATATTGTCTTCCTAAATTCCCGGCGTAAATCCCAAGAATTTTTTGAAAAAAAGTTCCGTCTTTACAACCCCAATTCTAAAAAACCCCCTTTTTCCCAAATTTCAAATCTTTCTTTAAAAATCTTCTTGTTAGCTACAAGGTAACTCTCTTGTTTCTGCTGAACTTTTTTTGTTTTTGTTTTTTTTTGCTTTGTGTGTGGTTATTTTTTTGTGTGTTTTGCTGGATTCTTGTATCTGTGTGGTTAGGTTTAAATGGGTATTTGAGTTCTTGATGATTCATAAGTAAAGTTGTGATCTTTTTGCAGTTGGGGTTGGATGTTGTTGGTTTTTACTAGTTTGGGTTGGTTTTGATTTGTGTATGTTTGTTTTAGCTTAGATGGTGTTCGAGTTATTGATGATTTATAACGTAAAGTTGGGATTTTTATGCTGTTGAGTTTTGTGGGGTTGGATGTTCTTAGTTTTTACTTGTTTGGTTTGGTTTTGATTTGTGTATGCTTGTTTTAGTTTAGATGGTGTTTGAGTTCTTGATGATTTATAAAGTAAAGTTGGGATTTTATGTTGTTGAGTTTTGTGGGGTTGGATGTTCTTAGTTTTTACTTATTTGGGTTTGTTTTGATTTGTGTGTGTTTGTTTTAGTTTAGATGGTGTTCGAGTTATTGATGATTTATAACGTAAAGTTGGGATTTTTATGCTGTTGAGTTTTGTGGGGTTGGATGTTCTTAGTTTTTACTTGTTTGGTTTGGTTTTGATTTGTGTATGCTTGTTTTAGTTTAGATGGTGTTTGAGTTCTTGATGATTTATAAAGTAAAGTTGGGATTTTATGTTGTTGAGTTTTGTGGGGTTGGATGTTCTTAGTTTTTACTTATTTGGGTTTGTTTTGATTTGTGTGTGTTTGTTTTAGTTTAGATTGTGTTTGAGTTCTTGATGATTTATATAGTAAAGTTGGGATTTTATGTTGTTGAGTTTTGTGGGGTTGGATGTTCTTAGTTTTTACTTATTTGGTTTGGTTTTGATTTGTGTAGGTTTGTTTTAGTTTAGATGGTGTTCGAGTTATTGATGATTTATAAAGTAAAGTTGGGATTTTATGTTGTTGAGTTTTGTGGGATTGGATGTTCTTAGTTTTTACTTATTTGTGTTGGTTTTGATTTGTGTGTGCTTGTTTTAGTTAAGATGGTGTTTGAGTTCTTGATGATTTATG